CGGGGCACCCGCTCCCCGACGGTCAGGACAGCTCTGGCGCGGTAAGGGAGACACTTGTCCGCCGGGCCTCAGCGCGTAATCGCGGGCTGCCTGTTCCCTGGCAGGGAGAGCCGTTTGTGCCAGGGCAGTGAATGAGGACAACGTGATTGACGCTGTGTTGCCTCTGACATTGCAGAATGGCAGCCAGGTACTTTTTACCCCTTCTAGCCGCCTTAGCTGACATGCTAATAGTTCACAGTCAGATCCAGATCCCAGCTGCTCACCAAGGGGCTTTGGTGACACAGAAAACAATTGTCATCTCTGGACAGAGCAGGTGAAGGTTGAAATTCCAGCATGCTTGAATGCTTTGTGCATTCTGGACAAAGGTAACTTGTGTATCAGAAATACTCACACAAAGATGTGGGACAAAGCTGCCTTAGATACATTGCCCAAGAGGCAGGGACTGCCCCTGGCTCTGTGCAGAACACTGAAAGCAACAGGAGCCACCACTGGTACCTCTTGGGAAGAGTTCAGTTCCAACACATGACATACAGCCACAGATATGGTGTGCCCACATTTTTGCACACTCAGAGAAGAATTTCTCTGCTTTACTTTACTTACAAGCTTTACTTTACTTCCATCAGTCATATACTGATGGTGGCAGATCCTTACCAACGCAGCCCAAGTGCACAGCCATTTTCCACTGGTGTCAAAGTAGGTAACTTGGGGAGGGTGGTTTTAAATGAGGAGTAAAAGGGAATGGGAGACAAGATCCTCTAGGTATGGCCAGAACGTGAGAGAAATACAACCTCGGCAGTGTATCAATACACAGTAGTTTGTCCCCAGAATTACTAAATGAAAGTAATGAGGTTGCCAATCACAGTGAAGATAACAACGTGGTCTGAGTGAAAAAAGAGTGAAAGAGATTGAATAGAAATGTGTGCTCTGCAGCATAAGAGAATATGCAAAAACATTTCAGCCAAAAATCAAGACAAGAGGAAAGGAGCCCGAATGGCAAAGTGACAGATTGCTGCTCTGGGAGAGCTGTTCTCAATAGGCTTAAGTTTAATGTAGACACTGAACTGCCTTCCTGGCCACAAATCCTCCTGTGTTTAATGTTAGGCTATGGAAATGAAACTGAACAAAGGAACACTTTGATTGTATGGTTTTTACATACTGCTGTGTAATAAATGGCATTTCATTCCTTAGTGCAGCTCCAGCTCAGTGTTAAACTAATGCAAAGACAATATAGCTCCTAAATCACATACATACATAAAATTACCCACAGTCTGAAGGGCACAGAAAAAACAAAGCCCAGAAGGCAGCAGGAAATGAATGTCGATAATTAAAATAGTAGCAGAATAGATGCAAATATTCTTCATAGGGAAATCTGTCAAAGGACATGATTGCCATGATGAATTCAAGGTGAGCTCTAATGTTTTAAAGTATTTTGCCCACTCTTTAGAGTTAGTTCAGCTCCAAGGTAATCGTACCCTACTCTGAATGACTTCCACAGACTGATCCATGTCAGGTCTTAAATACGAAACTCCTCTAGCGTAGTCAGCCAGCCTGGAGAGCTGCCTTTGAGCTGCTCTGTCACTGACTGACTTTGTGACCTTGCGTAAGACATTTTTGCATTTTAGTTTTCTTCTTTCTGCAAATAGGGACAGTGGTATTATCTTACTTCAGAATAATATTCTGAGGCTTAATTAATAAATAATGGTAATGTACTGTGATTCTAGACTGAGAGTGGCTAAGCAAGCACGAAGTACACGACCCAGAACATCCTAAAATGCTTCACTGCACTGCCCAGAGAGCTTCAAAACACTCTGGGCAGTTTCTCATGCTCTTATGTTCCAGTTGATCCTTCCTCCCACAGCTGCCTTAAACAAACACAAAATTAGAAAGAGGGACACAATATAACACAGAGATACAGTGGCAGGTCGAGCACAGAGCTCCTGGGTCTGACTCGGCCTGAGCTAGTGATTCCTGTGTGGCTTTTGGCAGCTCCACCAATCTCCATCTTCTATTTCCTTTTTCTCCAAACTGTAATGGTACCATTTGGACCCCCATCTTCCAAGGGCATTATAGTGGTTTCTAAGTTATGACCTTTCAAAGATATAAAATACAAGTCAGTTTTTTAGTTTTGTTTTTTTTTTTTATTTCTTTCAAACAGCAGAATCACTCGTTCAGTCTGATCTTATTTGTAGGAACAAAGAAACTAGAGTACTAAATTCTTTCTTGCTGTGAAATTTAAATATGGATTAGTTAAAGCATCTCTGGTCAAAAGGGATTGTTTTTCCAATAGATTTAATAAAATACTTCTCAATGCATTACCTGCTTTAAAACAGCAGCTGGAAGCCAGTTCTGCCCCACTTCACACCCTGAAATTGCCCATTACAAGATGTTTATTCCAACATACAGCCAAGCTGTTTTGAGTCCACACTTACCCTTTGCTCACGTGCACCAGAGTTACATCACTTGAACAAAACTTTCCCAGACTGATGGTAGAAATCTGAATGAGGTCCTTTGTTTCCTGTGCTAGTGCTGTAACAGCCAGGCTGCCCTCATTAAATGGTTTAAACATGACACTCTCACTATAAAGTCACTTCTGTCAACACGAGATTAGACACGTTCCAGCCGTACCAGTGGATCCCAGTTAAGCATGAGGACGAAGGTGGTGATCCCCTTGCTGAGGCACAGCAGTGATATCTGGTAGTGGATACCCAGAAAAATTACTCAAATTAGTTTGGGACCCTAAAGAAGTAGCAGAGCTTTTACAAATAACTCCAGCTTAGCAATTAGCTTTTGCCTTGCTTACTCTGTGGGCAACCAAACACTTTCTTACAAAACATTTCATCATTTAACATCAATTTCTATGTACAAGTTCAACAACTGATGGCACTGCAAGAAAACTGTTTTCCTAACTATTCAAATTTGAAATTTGTGTTTTGATCACTTACCATCTTTGTGGAAAAAAGCTGCTAAAACACAACACAGCTGTTTTAAACTCAAAATGAAACGTGAGGTGATGCAGCATTTGAAAAAATTCTACTCTGATCAGGGTCATCAGAGACTACTGCAATGTCACTATGAAATAAAGAGCAGAAAATAGATATATACTGACAGGATTTATTATAGAAAATCGGTAGGAGTAGACGGCCATCTCATGGCTATTGACTAACCTGAGACTGTACCAAATTATGAGGAAGAAAACCTGCGTTGATGCCATTGTATTTGTTAAAAACAGATGGGTTTGTAATCTCTTCCTCTTCCTTTTAGCCATTAGTATATGATTGTTACTTATTTTCAGGTTCTTTATTCATACTGAAGAGATTCAAAGAAAGGAAGAAATATACATCCTAACGCCACAGCCAACAGCTGAGTTCAGGTCAGTGTCAGCAGCAGCAAAACCCAGGAGCTGCTGCTGAGCTTTCTGTGCATTTCAGGTGTGTGTGGCCATTCATGGTGCCTTACTGTCCTTAATTATTTATTAATTAAGCCTCAGAATATTATTCTTAAGTAAGACAATACCACTATCCCTATTTGCAGAAAGAAGAAAACTAAAATGCAAAAGTGTCTTATGCAGGTTCTAGGTCTGTGGAAACAGAAACCCTCAGTTACCATAAAGCTCCAGTCTCTTACCCCTTTGGTAAGGATAAAATACTGGGGTATTTTGTGCCTTTAAAATGGTACTACTGGTGTAGGGTGTTACTCCTCCTCTGCAAATTCCTGTGCAAAAGCCAGCGATATAGGGAAGAGGAGAGATGTGTTTTTACAGAGTCTAGGGACAGTGAATGTGTTCTGCATGTTGCTGTTTGCTCAGTCCCCATGAAGACACTGCTGTTCACCAGGCTTTGCAAAGCAACCCGAGATCCAACTGAAGCACAGAAGAGCAGCACATTATCTCTGTCTCTTTGGCTAGTTCACTAGTTCATTCAAATGTTCACTATTTTGACATTATCATTGTCATTTAACTTTACAAAATCTATGGAATTCCCCATTCTAACCCACTTTTCTAGGTCTTATCCTTGTATGAGCTTTTAAAATACAAATGGGGGTATCTAAATTACCTTCAGGAATAAAAATATTCTATACTGTAAATAAGTATTCTTCTCATTTACGAAGATTCTGAAATAAAAGCTTGTTTGGTAGAGGTTGGTCTGGTTTTAAGTATATAATGACTGCAATATCACAGTTTTTGGAAAAAAATATTAAAATAAAGCCATAAATATAACAGATGATGCAAGAAAAATGCACTTGGAGAATCAGAAAAACATTTTCTAAACCAGCAAGAGAGTAATTTCAAGTGTCAAGACTTCTGCTTTAGCCGAGTGTTTATTGTTAGTGTAACCACCATTATTTATTGATTTCTGCCTCTCTCCACTCATTTGCTGCACAGAATTGTAAGTTACATACAGACCTGAGGAATGCAGAGCCCCTTAGGACCATGTGAACCACCACTGTTCACTAGGTAGTATTCTGCATTTCCTAAGGGCAGGAGATGAAGCAGGTAGCAAATTTCCCTGTCTGGCAGCAGAGGGAATTGAATTGCCATTTCAATACTGTTTCTACAGCTATCCCTGAACTTGTAGTACCTCCAAACCAGAAGCTAGCTAGGGAGCAACAGACTAAAGGAAGAATTCATCTTTCAAAAGCAAGCTGTTAATATACCCCAAAGTTCAGGTGTTAAGTGGCAAAGAGTTAAAATGAAATTTGTACTAACCTAAGTACTGCCAAAAAAACCCCAAAACAAAACCCAACACATAATTTTAATAATCAGGGGGAAAAAAACCCAAAACCACCAACAGGGCAAAAGTACATCTGTGACGTAACGGAGCTTAGAAGATTTATTTTGATCTACTTACAGAAACTTATTTTTCCCAGATGTGGGCAAATAATATTCTTGCCAAGAAGATAATTCTATTTCAGTTCTTTAAATCATGACTCTTGCTTATCTTTTTGCTCAGTTCAGGTCACTTGTCTGTAATAAGACAACATATCATCTAAGCTTTGGTAAGGTGGTTCCTGATTTTGAGTGTCACTGCTGTTGGTCTGCACCGAAGACGCTGCATCCTGGCTGCTGCAGCCACAGGCCGGCACTGATGGTGGCACATCCTGGGTGCTGCAGCCACAGGTCTGCATTCCTTGTGGCACCTCCTGGGGGCCC